ATATGAAACATAAATGACAAGTGAAAGAAAAAAACCCTGTTGTTAAGTAGTCCTGACTGAATAATTGATAGAAAACCAATATGTAGTATTGGTTTAGAATCAAGGTTTTCCAGCTGTCCTAGATGGATCATCCATATCCATCAACCTAGGTTAATCATCAGATATTCGCTTTTCGTCCTCTCAATTTGATAAACAATAATCCTGCCGCGAGCTGGCGGTAAGTAGGTCATGCTTTTCAGTGGTTGTATACACATGACTATGTGAGAGCATTTAGAGAGGGTGAGTTGATTTTTCCCCCACTCACGCCCATATGATGGAATTAGGGGGCTTAAACTGTTGTTGTAACAGTAATGTTAATTTTTAGTTTCCTGTTGAAATGACTATTCAACTGTATGTTTCCTTCTTATTTCGTTTAATCTTATTGTTATAAGTTAGTGAACTTAACCATATCTTATTCAGTTGCAACAGTCTTCATAACATTCCCCCCCCCTTAGTTTTTTTTTCTCTTTACGACACAATACCATTTTATGTATCTAATTAAGTATGTATCTATGTATGTATGTATGTATGTGTGTGTATGTGTTACTGTATCTATCATATCTCTCAAATCAAATCTACCCTGAATATCCTACCCTTAAGTCTTTCATCTTTCAGGGCTTAAATTCAGTTCAACTGATGTAATCAACTTACTTATCATGTTCTATGATATGATGTAATCTGTAATTTTTGATTTCAAATTAGATGAGGACTATTGTCCTAATATAGAAACAACTAGGTTATACACATCTATCTGTCTCTCTCTCTATATATATATACATAAGAAGTAAAGGTACGATTCATTCTTGATTATCTAACATGTATGCTAGTTCATTTAAACAAGAAACTAGGTAGATAATATGAAATAATTTCAAAAGATAGTGGCTATAAATGAAATACTTACTTACTTACTTTACTTTCGCCTGTTACTCCCAATGAAGCATAGGCCGCCGACCAGCATTCTCCAACCCACTCACTATGTCCTGGCTGCGCCTTCTTTTCTAGTTCTATCCAGTTCTTGTTCATTCTTCTCATGTCTGTCTCTATTTCTCGGCGTAATGTGTTCTTTGGTCTTCCTCGTCTCATTTGGAATACAGGATTCCATGTGAGGGCTTGCCTTGCGACGCAATTGGGTGATTTCCTCAAAGTGTGCCCTATCCACTTTCAGCGCTTCCTCCTGATTTCTTCCTCCGCTGGAATCTGATTTGTTGTCTCCCACAGTAACTTGTTGCTGATAGTGTTTGGCCATCGGATCCGAAGTATCTTGCGTAGACAACTGTTAATAAACACTTGTATCTTCTGGATAATGGCTTTTGTAGTTCTTCACGTCTCCGCTTCTATACAGTAGAACTCTCTTGACATTTGTGTTAAAAATTCTGATCTTGGTGTTGGTTGACAGACAGTTGTGTTGAAATGTAGATGTTCTCCAGTTGTAAATATGCTGCTCTTGCTTCCCCTATCCGCGTCTTCACATCTGCATCATATCCACCGTGTTCATCAATGATACTACCCAGATATGTAAAAATTTTCACATCCTCCAAAGCTTCTCAGTCAAGTGTAATTTGATTGGTGCATATTGTGTTGTATTGGAGAGTCTTGTATTTCCCTTTGTTTATATTGAGACCTACTGCTGCTGAGGCTGCTGCTACACTGATCGTTTTCTCCTGCATTTGTTGTTGCGTTTGTGATAGAAGAGCAAGATCATCCGTGAAGTCTAAATCGTCAAGCTGCATCCTGCCTGTCCACTGTATCCCGTGATTTCCTCCAATCGTTGACGTCTTCATGATCCAGTCGATCACCAGGAGAAAGAGAAAGGGTGAGAGTAAGCAACCTTGCCTAACACCGGTCTTTACTTGAAACGAGTCAGTGAGTTGTCCTCCGTGGACGATTTGGCAGTTTAGTCCATCATAGGAGTTCCGTATGATATTGACTATTTATAAATGGAACACAGGACGTGTGCTTCGTCCTTTTTGGGGCTCGTAATTTGGATGTACCTGCATCTCAGAGTTGATGTTCATTCTGGGAGTCGAACCCAGTACCGTTCACTTCAAATGCCATCACGTTATTCACTTATCTAATGATTCCTGATAGTTACTACTTATAGGAAGATACATATAAACAACATCAAGTGAATGATATTAATTATTTTTAAGTGTTAGAACCTTGTGTTATTGATGATAGGGATTAAATTTTAATAAATCTCTATTTCCTGGAGTTCTAGTGAGAACAAGTAACCAGTGGAGTTCAATCACATCTGTTGTTGAGATATCAAATCACTGAAGACAAGTGGTAAAAGTTGCTCAAACTTCGTGGATTGGTTGAAGTGAGACATGAACACCGTTGGATGACAGGAAGTTCAGTGGTCTATCGGTTAAGTGCTCTGGCACGAGACTGGTAGGTCCTGCGTTAGAATCTAGCGAGTCGGGATACGCACTGCCATTGAGGAGTCCCTCACTAGGATGAAACGGCCTTCCAGTGCCTGCAGTTTTTCCATGATGGTCTAGCTTCAATTGACTCATGATTTCAATTATCAAAATACTGAAATCTCCACAAAACCTCTTCTAATCTAAAATCTCTATTGGTATATGTTCATCCTGAACAGATTAATAAGATATTGCTATCAGATCAAAAGTATTATTTCAATCTGTATAGTGTGACTAGTAATTGAATAGAAAATGCATGCATTGTCGTATTTAGAGGGATGTACCTGCATCCTAAACGTGTATTAGTGTTTATTCCTAACCTGAAACTCTGTGTATTACAACCAGGGTGTCGATTACTGACCTACTGAATTCAGATAGTCATTGACTTCTGAAACAGGAATCAATGTTAATTCTAAATGGTGAATTCAAAATAACAAGAAACCTAAGTGATGAAATCTACTGCTAGCCACTATCCAAGTCTGAAAAGAATAATGTTTGTGAATTCACGGCAATACTGTGACAGTCGATCCAAAATGTAGATCAAATATAGTCCACAAAATCAATAACGAAAGCAACCAAACCTTATCAAGCGAAATAATACAAACTCTATATGCAAAGATGGATAGTGGCTAGCAGTGTAATCCAGAACATGCATTTCGTCATATTTGGGACTCGTCAGTTGGATGTACCTGCATGTCAGATCTGATGTTTATTCCAGGACTCAAACCCAGTACCGTTCGCTTCAAATGTCATCGCATTATCCACTTACCTACTGAGTCCTGATAGCCACTTGCTTGTACAGTGGAGTGAAGTTTAAATTAACTTGATGTTGTTTACTTGTATTTGTTAATCAAAAACCGTTTGTCTGTATTAGCTCAATTATAGATTCTTTGTAATTTCTTTGTTATGATGCTGTATCCAAGGCATACTGATACACAAAATTTGGTTTCACGCGTAAATACCCAACTTCTAAACCTTTGAGCTGGTATCCATCGGTGTTAGTGTCTAACTTCAAACAACTATCCAAACCTTTTTCATTCACAATGATGGATAACTATCTCACACTTGACATAGTTGTACTCCACTGGTCACAGCTTCTCACTTGAACTCCACGAAATACATCTCGAAGATGGTCATTAGTAAAGAAATAATAATTATCAGTATGGGTATTGAATATATTGTCAATTTTATTTATTAAGATCACTAAAGGAAAAAGAGTCCTGTACTAGAATGAAACGTCTATCGAATGCATTCAGGTTTTTAGTAATTATCTTATTTAGATTGGTTTGTGATCTCAATAAAAAAAACTTGTTTACTTCGACTTACATAACCTGTTTACTAAAGATACATACTGAATTACTTCTGTTGTTAGTTTACTTACTTACTTACTTACTCCTGTTACCCTCGTGGAGGAGCATAGGTCGCCCACCAGCACTCTCCATCCAACTCTGACCGAAGCAATCCTTTCCAGTTTTTTCCAGTTCTTAATCATCCTTTTCATATCCGCTTCAATCTCTTGGCGTAATGTGCTCTGTGGCCTTCCTCTTTTCCACTTCCCTTCCGGATTCCAAGTTTCAGATGGCCTCGTAATGCAGTTTGATGGGTTTTTTTTAAATGTATGTCCGATCCACTTCCAACATCTTTTCCTAATTTCCTCTTCAGTTAGAAGTTGGTTTGTCCTCTCCCATAAAACGCTATTGCTGATAGTATCCGGCCATTGAATCTGTTGTTCGTAACAGACACATTAAAAAAAAGAAAAACCAGTCACATTTTATGGAACACCGTGAGTTGGACTGCACTTCAATACCAGTCTTTATCCATCTATTAGTCAATAAGGTTGTGTTAATGGTTTTTATATCTTGATAATACGGCTACACACTTAGTTGTAAATATCAGCTAGTTCCTGGCATTCATTTCAATTACCATACTGTACTATCATATTTATTAACCAACTTTCTCTCTCTATTTAGTTTACTTTTATTTTAATCCGACGAATGATTACTGTAGTAGAGACACTTTGGAAGTGGGAGCACATTAAACAAAAAGACAGTTGAGTAGTTCGGTTTCTTAAGAATGTTAAGGATTTCATGAACAAAGGGAATGGGAACAGAATATGTGCATTGCTGTATTAAACCAGCTGTCATATGGGGACGATCAATTCATTGTTCAGTTCGAAATTACAGAACATCTTCATAAATTATGAAAATCGTAGATCGGATATCTTATTTGCAAATCGATTGTGTTTTGCATTCTTTATGATTCTTCCAATTCTCAATTCCTTTGTGTTTCTCATTTTGTTTTCTCTAGTTTAATCTTCCCAATCTTATTTTGACAGGTATTCCACTTTTGATTAGTGTTACATACTACTTATATCCGTCGATTTAAGTAATATACATCACATTGTTAGTAGTTGAAAGAGTTTTGTAAAGGATAAGATTGAGGGACCTCATATAAATAAAATAAAGTATATAAGCTTCGAGATGTATCAAAATACCACTACAGAAAACTTTAATCTACATCTACTTTTTCATTTTACTTCAGCATCCAAAAAGGGGAGCTTTCAAGGATGATTGAAGATTCAATTTAATCGATCAGTTGCTTCTAGAAGTAAGTATCAGTACTATTTATTTGTTTATCTGAATACATAAATATTGGTACAAGGGATCACCGAATACGTATGCGCCACACGAGTCACTTGATTTGTGTATGGACTGTGATACTATGCAGGTGGTTTACTTAGTAGTTCACACTCAAAGCCTTCGACCTAAAAATCTAATCGACAAGATAATGGAGCAACGTTAGGGGATACAGTCCCATAGTAGCCGGTGACCAACAATAGGTTCAAAAGTCACTTGTTTCTTTAGGATCCTGGATCCCATGTGCACCTATGGTTTGGAATCAGGATTTCACAACTCACCTGGGCGGATCGTTTGTATTCCCCGATCCGGTTTAAGCCCCTATCATACATTCGCTTTTCGTCATATCAATTTCGTAAACAACACCCCTGCTGCTAAAAGTCAGTGAGTAGTGAAATTTTGTATTTTTGGGAAGATCGGTTAACTGATGGTTACAAACAAACAAATAGACTATGATACTGAATAAATATTTTGTATTGAAATCCTGAACTTATCTTAGTTAGACAATCATGGAAAGCCTGAAAACACTAGGCAGCCGTTTCATCCTACTATGCAACTCCTCAGTAGTGCACATCTATAACTTCACCTAAGATAGACCGTAGGTCCTGTGTTTGATTTCTGAGTTCAGTGTATCAATAAAATTCAATCATATCCTTAAACCCAGGATCTATCCGTCTCGCGCGCAAACGCTTAACTATTAGACCACTGAGCCAGCTGTCATTCAACGGTCTTAATGTCAAATTATCAAAAACAGATTAAACACTCTAATTTGAAAAGACTTCAGTAGTACACTTTCAAAAATCACTATACAAATATAAGTAGGGAACCCGAAATTGTACTGTGCCACTAAAAATCATTAGATCACAGTGTCGGAATTCAAAGATCTACACTTACTGAATATTGTTGTAATTTCATTGAACTTTAAAGACCTCTGTTAAAATTCCATTACAGTCATGGCAGTTTCAAAAGACATGATTGATGTAACATTAGATATCAGAGGTTATACAACTTTCTCATGTTCTAATGAAATGCTTATAAATTGTTTACAAAGTAAACTGAGATGGTGGAGAAGATTTGTAGCTCAAGTGGGTGATTTTAATGTAGGTTTGTTCTCTGAACTGGATGGTTTACTCGTGGAGATTTCATTGTCCTTCTGAATGACATCATCAGCACAAACTTCGGATAGAATTGAAGTGTTTGAATTTCTCCACATGTGATTCACAACTGTTTTCATTATGGACATATTATGTTATGAGGTCGTCTGAGTTTACCAATAATTAAACAAGCTTAACATTTTTGAACTACATGAACTACATGAATGTAAAAACAAAAAGAGCAAGTAGACAGTTTTTTATTGCCTAAATCATACCAGTGATATTGTGGTTTGTGTTACTGATGTTGACAGATATAAGTAGTATTGTAGTGTAATCTACTTATATCCATATAAGTAGTATATAATGAGGGTCAGTCATAGAATGTATTTCAGCAGAAGATCGATAAAGAAAGAACAGGAATGAAACGCGATTGGTAAGGAAATATATGAACAATGAAATCAGAGAAGATGGACTTATATTTGCAGAAGGAACAATTAAGACTATTGATTGTTATTTTGCAAATCAACTGCTGACTGTATCATTATTAGAATTTAGTGAGATAATCTGTAATTTGTGCTTAGATACATTCAGTTGTCCCCAACTAGTGTTCTATTCACTACAGTATGTATTGTGAATTGAAATTGAAATACTTAGTGGCAACAAATTAAGAAGATCAAAGAGAAGAGAACTAGAGAAGTAAGTGATTGAGATGGAAGCGAAGGGATAACAAGGTCTGAGACTGGTAATAGATATTTTGAATATATGAAGTATTCAATGTATGGTTGTCAGATTTCACTAAGTGATTCTATAGTTTTGTATTCAAATACATTTGTTTGTCGCCGCTTGCATTCTTGTTTACTACAATATATGCACTAGTATGGTACACTGATCAAGTATATATATAACATATGTATCTATTGAACAAAATGATCTTCATTATACTGATAGAATGTGATGAATAACAGAATGGGGGGGTTGTTAGTGTTTCATTTAATTACTTACAGATTTTCATGATAAATTATAATTCATCACTTTTAATGTGTGGAACAAAATCAATTGCTATGGTGATATGTGCAAATTAGATTCATCGATTGGTTAGTGGTTACTTGTTAATAGTTGTTTTAAATTACTTAGTATTCATTCAAGTACTTCACATAATCAAATTGTATATTAATTATCTACTTGAACACATAAATATTGGTACAAGGGGGCAACGAATACATGTGTGTAGGCTGTTATACTACACGGATGCCTAAACCGAAACAGATGGTTAACTTAGAGGGCAACACTCGGAGCCTTCGACCTACAGTTCTAATCTAAAAAGCAGTGGAACACGTAAGGAGATAAAGTTCCATGTTAGTCGATGAAAAACAATAGGTTGATACACTATTTATTCCCTCAGGAGCCTAAAGCCTCTGTGCACTATTGGTTTAAAATTAGTGTTTTACAACTCACCTGGGCGAATCCTTTGTATCCATCATCTAATTTAAAGCACCAGACATCCACTTTTCGTCCTCTCAATTTCATAAACACCAGCGCCCGCCGCTAGAAGGTAGTGAGTAGAACGTTCCTGACAGTGGTTGCATACTCGTGACTATAGGAGAGCATTTTGAGGGAGAGAAAGAGTTGGCTCTTCACATATTCGACCGTACCAGGGTATTCGGGGAACTAAGTATTATGCTGGAATCGCTTATCACTTATACTTGTAAAACAAGGAATCACCGTAATTCTCACAACCCGAACATAATGAGTTATCAGATAGTAAATCACTGAAGAAATTGATGAATGGTTGCTTAAACTTCGTGGATTGGTTGAAGTTAGACATTAACAACGTTGGATTACAGCTGGTTCAGTGGTCTAGTGGTTAAACGCTCGCGCGAAACTGATAGGTCCTGGTTTGGAATCTCGGAAGGTGGGTTCGTGTATGCGCACTGTCACTGAGGAGTCCCACAATAAAACGAAACGGCCATCCAGTGCTTCTACGTTTTCTCTGATGGTTTAGCTTCAATTAACTTACGATTTCAACCATATATATATCTTTATAATCAAAAATAGATATTGGCTAACAGTAGGATTCAAGATTCACGTTTCGTTCTATTTTGGGATTTATCAACTGGATAGATAGTTTACTTATACCTAAAAAGTCCAACATCCCACTGTTCTTATCAAAGGACATCATTTATTCAATATTAATCTAGAAAATTATATCATAAAACAAAAAAAAATCTGTCATTTATGTCCTTAGTTCTTTCATTCAATCTACCATTTTGTCAATCATTATAACATTTTACAAAATGTTCTTTCACTAAAAGGAAAAAAAGAAAATCACATTTTTTACTTTACCTTTTACATGAAATTCACTAAGTGTATTTATATATCACTCCCTTCTAAGGTTATTGTGATCCACATGTATGTTTCCCTCTTTCCCTTTCTTTCTCTGGTTGATTGTTGCCTTATTTCATTCTGTCATTGTATCAATGTTACAAACGATTGATTTCAATATTTATCCTAAATATTCTTAGATATTTCAACTAAATCATTCAAGGATTGGTTAAAGTTAAATATGAACATCGTTGGATGACAACCGGCTAAGTGGTTTACAGGTTAAATGTTCACTTGTAAGATTGAAGGTTCTTTGTTCGAATCCCACCAGTGAAATCATAAATGATCACTACCATTTTACGACGTGCAATGTTTTATGGTGTAGAAGTAAGTTGGAAGAAAGTTAGGGTGGTCAGACCAAAACATGGCATAAATCCATGAAATCACTGACAAGTGGACTGAGCTATGTCGTTAGGTGTAAACTACCTGGTTCGGATTCGTGAAAAGATAGCAATCGATGGTTTGATACCTTAAATGATATGGCTCAAAATCATTTGCAATGGCGAAAGTGTATCTACTCTTTATGTTCTACCAAATTCTAATCTTGTGAATCCTTCATGTCCCTTTCTTTTTTCTCTTTACAAATTTATTTCCCTGGATTATACTCCTTGAATAACATGTTCGAACCCTAATCTTTCCCATTACTGCTTATACTCCTACTACTTCTACCATTATGGGATTTGAATCGACAGCTGCATCCCTGTGTTAATGTAATATGGCAACTCGAACTGATGTACGTACGTACGAAGTTCTACGTTGTGACTAACTAACTACCACTGTGAAGTCCCATACTAGGACGAAACTGTTGTTCAATACTTTCAGGTTTCCTATGATCGTCTAACTTTAATTGACTTATAAATTCAACTATAAAATCATTCGAAATATTTTTTTGTAAAAATTTTTAGATAATCGAATGAAATGAACACAATAAGGCAAAAAAGAGAGAAAGAGAGAGAGAGAGGGTAGGGTGAGTGAGTGCGAGAGATTGGTAACAGATCATTAGTAACTTCACTAAACTAAATAATAGGGATTTCAATCTCTTTTCACTTGGATGACAGTATCTACTATGGACAATCTATTGCATAACTCTTTACTCGATAGGTGTACACACACACACACCCATACACACATACATACAAGTATATATATATATATATATATACTTATAGATAGACGTAAATGTTTCTATGCTTGAATGTAGCAACTAATTCATATCGTTTAAAGGAATAGATTTAACTAGTTTTGTTTAAATTTAATTCTTTTTCTTCTACCAAAGAAAAATGGAAAACTAAACTATAATCCATGAAATAGTTCGTAAGAAATAAAGTTCCCATTTTGTATAGAGAAACAAAAAGAACACACTCACACACACACACACACACACAATAAACTGAATTGTCTATTATGATATGGATATAATTAATTGATTGAATGTTATATAATAATTCTAATTTTATTTACACCTGTTACCCCTCGTAGAGGAGGAGCATAGGCT